AGAGGGAGGGTGATTTTCATAAATGGATTCTGTCATAGGTGGCTCTGTTCTCGGCTTCTTCACCCGTGGGGCCTTTGCTTGTGTTTGGATGCCTGTTCCGAAGCGTTTTCCTTGATCTTCATTTACATAGACATTTGTTGTCTCCTCCAGCACATTCAGGTATATATCCTAGAGGCAAAATATCATTTCTGTGATGGCTGTCACTGAGTATTCGGGCTGCAGAGAATGGAGAACACTAGAATTCCTGCCTGTCTTTAGAACAGTTTGTCAGTATTTTGAAGAAAATGTCACATCGGGTCACATTTCTAGCTTTCCCCTCTCCCTCCCACATTTGCCCAAGCAGGATGCAGCTCTTTCACTCATGTACTCTAAAACAATGGCAATCCATTACATGGCCCATTTCAGGGATTCCATCAGACAGACACATAGATAGAGATACTGGCAACATATGAGCTCTGGGATAGCAAGCTTACGGTGAGGTCTCCATTCCTACTGCTAAAGCCAGCCCTGTCTTTAGTAACTCAGTAGCTATGTTAAGAGTCAGCCAAATGATGACTTACATTTGGAGGTCTGGGAGGGTTTTTTCATATTCATGTTCTTGTACTTCACAACATTCACTTGTCTAAAGCAACGAACAAAATCAGTGACAAAGAACCTCTATCTACAACTCACCCATAACTTTACAAAGAGCACAAAGCTGTGAGAAAATGTTATTAAACAATTTTTGAACTCAGAACACACTCTGTGTGTAAATAACCATAGAGGATAATAAACTAACATTTTAAGGTACCTGTCAAAACGATTTTTCATTTGGGACAATCACATAGACCTTTTGATGCCAGCCCATGGGAATCACCTTTCAGAAGGGATCACTTAATGCCCAACAGTTGCTTTCACTATAACATTCCAAATTCTTATGATCATTTCATACAGGAGAAAAACCCTCACTTGCACATTTACAATCAGAAAAGCAGAACAAAACACAAAAAGATGTTAATGAACAGCAACTACAGGGAGGCCACTTCCCTTAGTACTTTTATAGGTTTCTTTCTGGAGTGAGAGCAGAATGAGCCACGCAAGAACTAGAGCTGGTTTAAAACTTCTATAAAGTAGCAGGGGAAGGAACAGACCATTTTAGGCAGAACTGTCAGTGTTTGGCTGCCACAGTGCTTCCTGACTTTTCTCCTTCTTGGGCATATGAATGCTTTTTCACCTCAGGGGAAAGAAGTATGGCGCTGCAGAAACTCTGACTCTATCCCATCACTGGGGACATAGGACATCGATACCCAACCCACAGTCTGGAACAGAAGAAAAGCTGACAAAACTAGTTACTATGAAACAACTTGCCAATGCTTTGGGAGCTAAGTAACATCATTTTGGAATCAGAGGATTCCTACTTGGGTGAGAAGAATCCACTGAAGAGCAGTGGCCATAGATTTTGTTTTCTGCTAGTTAACAGACCACCTGGAAGTGCTTCTTCTGAATGTTAACTTAAATTTCTCTTTGATCCTTATGATCCTTTAACTTCTAAGTAAAGCAGTGATAGCTTGAGTGCCTAGGAGTGCAGTCCTGAACTTTCCAAGGGCTACAGAGAGGACTGAATCAGCCTTCTGACATAGAGGATTAGGCTGGGAAGTGGCAAGACATTCTGGTGAAGGAAGGTATTTACCCGTTTCCATCTGAAGTTTGACCTCTGGAGAACACAGACCACTGCCAACATGACTGCAAGAACCAATGTCAGGAAGCTGGGTATCCCTGCAGCTACTCCAACCACCCAAAGTTTATACTAATTCACAAAGAAAGAGAGTCAGGTCAAACACATGCAGTGTGATCCTTTAATTCTGTGCTTAGTAGCTGAGTGCGTGCCTTAGCATGCAAAAAGAATAGCCAACATGATGAACCTACAGTTCTGGGCCACAACAGTGCTATCTAGCCCAGCTATAATATACACTGGGATAGAAAGGAGATGCAGAAGTGGAGATCTGCATCCAGATGTGGAGAAGAAATGTGGACTTGTTGGACCATGTCCAAAGGAGGGCCACAAAAATGATTCAAGGGATAGAACACCTCCCTACGAGGACAGGCTGAGAGAACTGGGGCTGTTCAGCCTAGAGAAGAGGTGGCTCCGGGGAGACCCGGTAGTGGCTTTTCAGTATGTAAACAGAGGCTGTATGAAGGAAGGAGACAGTCTCTTTAGCAAGGTGTGCTGTGATAAGACAAGGAGAAATGGTTTCAAACTAAAGGAGGGGAGATTAGAATGGATATAAGGAAAAAAAATGCCTTTTTTTTTTTTTTTTTTTTTTTTTTTTTTTTTTTACAACAAAAGTGGTGAAGCACTGGAACAGATTGTCCAGAGAGGAGGCAGATGTCCCTTCCCTGGAGGCATTCAAGATCAGACTTGACAGGGCTCTGGCCAACCTGATTGAGCTGTTCATTGTAGGGGTGTTGGACTAGATGATCTTTAAAGGTTCCTTCCAACTCAAAAGATTCTACGATTTTAGAGGGGAAATACTCCATAAGCAATCAGTCAAATTAAATAATGAAACAAACTCTTACCCCATAAGAACAATCTGCCTCAACAGGTGTGCTTGCTGTTGCAGTTGGAGAGATCTAGAAATAAGACAATTATAGAAATTTACAAAAAATTACTTTATATAGAGCAAGCACAGATAGAGACTAATCAGTTGCAAGACTTCAACAGCAGCATTTGGTAGATTACACTTGGAGAACCCAGCCAGACCCTGAGGTCTTGGCCCGTACTTGCCAGTCCTAAGCAAGAACCCAGCCAACGGTGGCTCTGACTGAATGGAAAGAATGTATATTCTTCCTCAAAAAGGAGTTTGAGACTGGAAAAAATACATGAAAGAGATAAGCACTAATACATGCCATAGAAGATTGGATTCAGAAGAGAAAGAAGCAAAAAGGGGAGCAAGAAGACCCTAGAAATGATGTGATTTTGCAAATCTGCTCTTCATTTTCACTGCACCATCTACCTGCATGCCCCTACCTGGAGCATCCATCACTGGAAAGCACTGCACACCTTGTCTGGGCTTGCAGAAGCAAGGCATGCAGAGAAGGACACTGAAACCTGTGCGTACCCCATATCAAAACTCTCCAGCTTTTTCTAGCCTTTGCAAAAACATCACACCTGGTTACAAGTGACAAGGCAGTTGAAGCTGGGAGATAGAAGGCATATCACATAGTGATGATGGCAGATGCATTGCTTGTTATCTCTTCACCCAGGCTAACCCACTACCCGCAGCTGACAGTTTATGCAATAAAATGCTGGGAAGAAGCAAAGCCAGGTAGGTTCTGTGCCTCAGAATACAGACAGTACAAGCAGGAAGGTCAGTTTGTAAAGTCCAGATCTTTGCACATCCACAAGTTTTTGTGGGAAGAGAGACAAAATACTTGCCTTTTAAAAAAGATTTAGCACTGATGTGCCTTTTCATTCAGTGGCAAGACAAATAAAATATCATGTTAGCAGCAATAGAACAGCATGTCAGATAAGATTCCAACCATCCACTATCCGTTAAGAGCACCTCCTCCTTTTCAGAATTATATTCCCTCTTTCTGAGGTATATCATGGTGCCAAGGAGGCAGTTGATCTTCATCCTACACAGTATACTTACTGAATTTACAGTTGTGTTGTAAAAGGGCATGAAAGATCTTGTCACATCCTGCAGAGAAATTAGAAAAGAATAAAAACAATATCACACTTTCTGCAATTTGTAGGTGCCCTATGCAGGTGTGGGAATGGAGAGGGATATTTCTGCAGTGTCTGGAAGTGATGGCACGGGAATATACCAACATGATTTGAACAGGAAACATGACAGTTATTCAAGAGGGAAAGAAAAAAGAAAAAGAAAAAAAAGCATACAAGGCTATTTAAAAGTGCAGTACAATAAAACATAAACTGGTTTGCTTGAATTACTTACACTATACAGAGCCTTATCATACAATAGGTTTACTCTGCCAACTCCCTACTAAGAGGGCAAAACTTTTTTTATTACCACTATGGCTGAGGGACAAACAAAGCCAAAGTACAGGGTAATTTGTAAGAAAGCAAAGACTTGCACCTGCAGCCTTTGAGCTGCAAACTAATCACATGTTCCTGCTCTTGTTGATTCAAGGACAGCTGAAAAGATAGAAAGATATTAACCTTTTCCTGGCTAATTTGTTTCTACGCACAGGAGGAAAGCTGCCTGCCTGTCTGGGATGCAAATCAGCATTCTGGGAGGCTTAAAGAAAGTTAAGAACTACTTTTCTTTCTGGTGTAGCTGTGCTGCTAGAACTAGTATTGAGTCCATGCAACAGCCAGCACCACAGCAACTGCAGATGACTGGAGGGATTTGTGCTAGTGGCAGCGTTGGGAAGGGAAGCTCAATTTGGAGGGCAGAGATGAGGACAAGCAGCACAGGAGCCTCTCCTCTAATCCAGGAGTAAGTAGCATGTCCATGTGCAGCAGCTCTGCTGAACCCAGCCAGAGCCATAAAAACATTGGAATTAAATAAAAATTGAGTGAAAGAGCAAAGCTGCTGGGGTCTCTTTGAACTGATGTGAAAGGTGACAGAAGGCTGAAAGGAAGCGTCACTGTGCATCCCCAGAAAGCTAGTATAATGAGCCAGCACAAATCTGGCTTTTTCTGACTGCAGAAAGTTCTTCTGCCATGCCTTGAATAGGGCCTGGTTATTTCAGGTCAGGGAAGTTAATGCAGTGAAAGCACGCAGGAAGTCTGGATACTGCAGGTTATGGAGAAGGAAGGCTGAGAGCACAAGCAGGATATGAGAGGATTCACACTTCAATCTTAGCTCAGTCTATGTCCTGTGGTCTGGGAATAGGACACTTTGCTGGATATGATGGATCATACTACTTAGTGAACAATCCAGAATTCATCCTCCCATTCCTAACTGCAGTCAGAGGCTTGTTTGGAACTGTGGCCTTTGTAGGCAAGCTGTGGACATTGAACTGGAAGTGTAACCTTTGAACAACCTGGCTTAGGGACTGCATGCATAGTTAACAATCAGTCACCAAGTGAGAAGGATCTCTTTCAGGCCCCTCATAGACCCAGGTATGGCTACACCCATGTTGCCAGCTGGGAATGAAATTCTATAGAAGCATTCTTACTCAACTTTTCTATTGTGTATTCTTCAAACTTCCTCACTGAAACACACCTTTCTGAACAGCTGACCTGTTAATGTTTGAGCTTGGATATTCACACCTTTCTCTTCTCTGAAGCTGTACATTTATTTCCTTCCTAGTAATGATACATACTTAATGGACTTTATATGTATTTCAGGACTTTGCATGCAGGTTAGATTAAAGTCTGAGCAGAAGAGGCCATGTAAATAATGCATTTATATACTCTCACCTTTCTGTGCTCTAGGTATTTGCGAAACTGTACGTGCAATTGACTGCTGACAAATTTATATTCCCAGCAAAAAACAGGTATGTCTGTAACTTGCAATAATACAATCACTACCAATCAGGTTAAACAGAATTTTTTTTTCCTAGTTTATTTAATCATAGCTTTAGACCGGGAATACATACTTAGCTTCTACCAGAAAACACACAGCTCTTATTTAAAGTAATAACCTGGTTCTACATTTACATTTTTAACTGGTAACTTATGCATTTGTGTTCTTCACTGAGATTTCTTTTATGTACAGAATGAAAGATTCAGGATATCTTACTGAGACTATCATATTTGGAATCTGAATTCTCTAACCAAGCAAACACAGGAAACCGCAGCAAGATACCGAGAACAAGGCTGTTTCTCTAAATGTGAACAATGGTTTAAAGCCACTGTCTCAAATCACTTGCAAAAATGGATAAATATGCAAATTGGTACAGTATCCATATCAGGAGAGACAAGGATGTCATTTACATGTAAATTACTATTGACATCCAATATATTTACTTCAGAATGGAAAGGACGCTTCCAGACCTCATGACTGAAACTCCCTTCCAGCCCGCTCTGAAATTTTGATACCTAAAGTGAACGTAATTTGGCATTGTGTTATCCTTATTTGCAGGCACATCCCTGCTTTTGTTCATAGATTGTCCAGATTACTCAGTGTGATATTTACTGGGCTCTGAGCATCAGTGACCCTGACAGGAGTCAAGTACATTTCCCAGCATTAACTACAGCAGCTACTGTCTTTTTTAACAGACGCTTCCACCCTTTCAGCATCAATTCTCCAACATATGGAAAGAATTCCCTCCCAGTTGTTCCCATACTAGCTCAAACCGTGAATGCTTGCAGCCAGGGATTACGTCCTCTCCTGTGTTTATACAAGCATCAGCTCTAGTGTGATCATTTCAGCAGATCCTGCAGGAACTCACTCCAAAGGACAGGAAATTTCCTCAAGAAAAGACCACTGATTGATTCCACTTTGCTCCAACTGCCCCAGAACCGGGTAATATCTCCTGGTCAGAAAAGCTGTAATAGACACTAAAATCCAAGCAAGTACCTAAAACTGTTGGTTGCACTACAAGGAAAAGCAAAGATGACAAGAGTGCCAGCTGAGTTGGTTGGAGCAAGGAACTGGAGGGCTAAAAACTCCCAAGGAACATTACATCAAACACTCAAATACTCTGACAGCCTCACCTCTCTGACCTCTTCCCCAGGTTCCATCGAAATATGAGTCTACTGAGACAGGACGGCTCCACTCACCATTTTGCTCTCCTCCACCAGAAATCCCTCCACACATTAACAGCTGACTGTCCGACTCCAGGCTCAGCGTTCTGTTTAGAATGAGATTCTCTTCCTGCTGAAAAAAATAACAAAACCAAAACACAAGAAATTGGAGACCTGTAAAGAGGAAGAAGACGAGGGCATTTCTGCCAGGGTGAGTCAGACAGTCTGACTGGATCCCAGCACACCTGATAAAGCAGCTCCTCTGTCAGAGGCAGAATGGCTGGCACATGGCTTTAGGGCACTGAGGACTACAGCTCTTTTTTTCTAATCTGCCTCATGGCTTAAAAAAAAACAAAAAAACAACCCACCAAACAACAACAAAACTGTTTATGGCTGTGAGGGTGTAGCAGCTTGAGGGGAATTCTGCTTTTGTTATCTAAGGTTAACACCTTGTATGCTAGAGAAAAATTATGGGAAATGCCAGAACAAAGTGGAGGATTCCTGCTGGCTTGTTTCATGCCTGATACTGAGATCAATAGGCCTGTGTGCTCCTAAGCATCTTTCTTTGTCTTGACTGGTGTACCACTGAATACTCATGCTTATAAAGGATGAAGAATCTCCTAGCAGACAATAGATATCCCCTTCAGCATCTCACAGATGGTGACTGGATGGTCTTCGGGCACTTTCTAGAAAATTAAATCCTGATTCTAAAAATAAGAAACTGGCCACATCACATAGCACTGGTGGCTGGCAAATCTGAAAGAGAAATTAAGGGAAAGTTCTACTTGAAGAGAAAGAAATATATAAGCCTGTGAAAGATCAAGAAACACTTTCAGCATCCAGATTGATCATGAAAACGGTGATAGCATATATTGCTGCAGCTGCACACATCAGTGTTTCTCAGACAGCTGTCACATTAGTTTATATTCCACCTTCTATATCACCTCCTATTTCCCACTGGTTTCTACTTAGGTTGCATTGCTTTGGACCATATTCTCAGCATGACTGGATGCTCACTGGCCCTCATTTTGGAAATCATGTCCATCAGTGACCTGACTGACAGCACCCTGGCACATTCCAGAATCAAACTTTGCAGTCATATCCTGGTGCAGGAGGCTGCGTGAAGACACTTATTCTTTGTCTCCGTTGTTGCTCTGCCTTTAGGTGCAGCATAGAGGAAATTCAGACACCATGAAGTTTTGAGTGGCTGCATCACACACCACAGGAAATGTTCAGGGGACATGAATGACATAAATGAATAGTAGACAGATGGGGAAAAACACAGAAATGATCCTTAGCAAGCAGAATATGTATCAGGCAGAGGACAGAAAAAGGAAGAAAAACATTTTTAATGCTGCCTGTGTACTGAACATTTTGCTGCTACAGTGGGAGTACAGATCACAAGGCTGCAGTGAAGATGTGTTAAGAAATTTCTTTCCCTTGAGGAACTGGTGGATGCATGTATACAATAGAATGTGCAACTGAATCCAGTCTTTAATAAAAGCAGAGACTCATTTTGGTCTCTAGACTAATTAGGTACATTTTGATTGCCCCCATACCCTCCTCTCCTCCCCACCTATAATATTAATTTTGTTAGTGAAATGTAAAACCACACAAAGACTGGAATACGTGTACACACCTTGGAGGATCTCACATTTTTTTCTTTTTCACTTAAGAAACTTATAGACAGTTAGAATTATTGACTGTTACCACCCAGTCAGTACAGCAGAAATATTCTACATAAATCATCAGTTGAAATGTACAGTACAACAGCTGTGAGTAGTACACTGTCACAAAAGACACCTGCTTGAATGCTAACAAATGCAGTAGATCCATCAAACCACATTGCAAGCATGTGCAACAAACCAGAACACCAAATACAAAGTCTGAGGAACGTAAGAAATTATCAAAACATAGAGCACAGATGTGGAAGTACACAGGAAGCTTCTCTCCCATTAGAGAGCTAGGAAATCTGAACTGCTGCTTGCCACCTATTACTTTCCTTCTGCTTCACAGGGATCAGTGTCAAGCTTTTATTTCCAGACCCGAGCCACTGCAATTTTGCTTGAATGGGATCAAGAAAGAGAAGGAAAAAAGCTAACAGACCACAGCTAACAGACCTCACTTCCTCAGACCTGCATGGTCAAACAGCTTGAATTTAAAGGCCTTGCCTGTAAAAAGGCCTCAAAAATTAGAAAGAAAAAACAGAGCTAGAAAAACAAACAGAAATAACATGGTTTTATACAGCCTGCAATAAAGCTATAGTCCATGGCACAGTATTGTTCACATGACATTTAAGGCTTTGACTACTGTTTTTTTACATGCACATTTTATATACATATAATATTGTTTATAAATTATTTTATTTTTCTTGTTCTAAGCAAGAAAATATTTTCATGCATTTGCTTCTCCCAGTATTCACAATACTTGGACCATATTCTGGTTGAGGACTTTTGGAGAAGGCTGGGTCTATTTATTATCTGTCTGGAAATGGCCTCATCTCCAGAAAAGTCATTTGTGCCGGATAGTGTTGCTGACCCCACGCTTCTCCACAGTCATGCACTCAACGGGCAGGTGTCACCCCAGAGCCTGACAGTACACTGGTTATGTAAACACAGTAACCCTTGGATTACAAATACTTTATTAAAGCTAATGTACCTCATCTTTTAGCTCATTACTGCCCATGAGTGCCATAATGAAATAGATCTAGTTCTGAATGATTTTTTTCTTCTTTTATTCCCCTCCCTTACCAGTAGCTCAATTACAGTACTTCTCCCACAAGGCGCAGTTTTCCCTACTTTCTCTCAAATAAGTGCCAAGCTATCTGTTAATTCTGCAATGGTTCAGTAGCTTCCATGTGTATAAATAACTGCAACGCAGAGCAGGTCTCAGCCTTGTAGCTCAAGGTGCTTAAGTCAACATCTCATATGCACAGCAGGGTTATAGAACTGCTATGAAGCTAATAGACTGCATGGTGGGCTGGCAAAGAATGAAGCAACGCAAACCAGCAGAACTTTCCCATTCCTTGTCCTATGCCTGGGGCATGCATCTGTTTGACAGGTTCCCCGAGCTCACCAGAGCTGACCTGTAGCACAGCTTCTGTTCTTTGTCTCAGGAACAACCACAGCAATATGCTAAGGTATTCTGACCATCTCTGACTCGATGTGTTCTTCTGTGAGATGCTCCAGCTAGCTGATGCTGTAAGAGCACCCCTTGGTAGCTGTGGGGAGTTCTGGGGAGAGCATCATAGATAGTTATGAAAATGAAAGGCTCACAAAGATGTGGTACTCAGGAGCAACGGAAACTTGGAAAGGAAGAAGCATAAAATGACTGAGAAAGCAAACATGGGTCGAGTTAAGAGAGACTTCTTGTTAAAGATGGAGCCTGGACTGCTGCTATAGCCCTCTGAGCTGCCTTGCCTGGCAGTGTAACTGGAGCAGACTGTAAGTGTTCCACCTGCAAAGTTCTGCCACCATTACACATTCATGCTCTGCCTCCTATCAAAACACATCCCTGTCAGACACAAGCTTTCCCTTGGCCACTGTGTCAAAGTACTTCCACTCAGTGTGCAGTGGGACAATTACTGCAGACAGGCACTGACCACTGCTTGTTCACTGTGGTCAGCTAACCAAGGAGATCATCCCCATGCCCCCAACTACTTCTCAAATCACAAAAACTAAGACACAAAATAGGTGGGACAGAAGGAGTCATGGAATCTGGAGTCCCAGCTGCGTAGTTGTTCTCATATTGCACTGAGTAACTTGGGCTGCAGAGGAGAATAGACAGTCCACAATGTCCTCTGAGAAAACCCTACTGAGTGGCTGCCCACATCATATGCTTTAGAAAATGTATTCAGACAGCTTGTACAGGATGCTTAGGAAATATAATCTAGAGACAGGGTATTCAATAGACTAAGACCTTCCTCAGTTTAAGCTTCATAAGTCTTCATTCAGCCCTATGGGAAGCTATGCAAAACACAACATTTATGCCCTGACAGGTATGATTAGAAGACAATTTTTGGTCCTAGGTATGTTAACAAGAGAGAGTCACACTAATAATTTCAGAGGCAAACCCTTGTGACTGGATTTAGTTTTAGTTACAGAAAATACTGTACACTGCTTTTGGTCAGATGCACAGAGGCTTAAAAAAGTCAAAAATCACAGCTAAACATCTCGATCTTCAGGTAAGGAACGTCTGCGAGGAGCAGTCAGATTACTTTCTCATATGCAACGCATCCTGAAATTTGGTACTTATGTATTGGGCGTGAAACCCTTTCTTGTTAATGGTGTCGTCTGTGTGGAATCGAATCATGATGGAATCTCCTGCAGAGTAGATTTCTTCCAGAGGCTGCAGAAAAGGAAAGAACATAACACAGTGGTCAAGTCCGCATGCTAAGTAATCATCCACGCTGTGGTGCCAGAGTTTAAGCTCACAATGAATAGGCTATGAAACATGAATACTCAGTGCTCAGTACCACGTGCCCTGACTTTCTGAGCATATTCGTCTTGCTCTTTGCATGCTTGCATTTCATATTTGAAGACTGATACCAGTCCACTCTACAATTCCAGTTCTTCCAGTTGTTTTTGATTGGTCACGGGACTCCCTGGATATTCTTGTTCCAGTCCTCTGGGTACATTCTGATTTGTGCTAATTTTTTTAGGAAATGACACAGCTCAAATTGGACCTTATTCAGCAGTCGAGTCCCTCCCATGCATCATGCAAGCAAAGCTCTGGTTGCTTCCCTCACCGCTGTGACTTGCTACAACCTCTGTGTTTCCCCTGAAACTTTCCCTACCATTCTCCATTTGTCAGCATGCAGATAGGTGATTACTATCCCACTATTCTGAGCTTCTTCACACCAATCTGCTATACCTTGGTCTGTTTTCCAGACCATTTCCCCAGTTTGCATAGACTGTCCTGACACATGCTACCTGGCTGTTTCCAAAAGCACTTTCTCTATTTCATTGTTCAAGTCCCACTACTGCTCATACTAACAGAGTCACATCTGCTAATCAGGACTTAGATAACAATTTAGGAGACAAGACACCATCCTGGAGTCAACTAACAGCTTCAGCCTTCATTCTCTCCTGACCATGACTGGAAATGTGACTTGGCTTCAGGAAGGAAGTAACTAAGGATTAAACCAGATTTTGGAAGCAGTTTCTCATATTCACACAATGATTTTGCATCTGGGCTAGGGCACAGCATTGTAGCAGTCCCATGTTGATGCATAAAGCCCAGGGCTGAAAACAGAAAGTCAGCTAGGAAAGTCAGTTGTTTTTTAGACCAACTTTGCATAGTAGATAAAATGACTGATCTGTAGGAAGAGGGGAAGCAGCAAGACTCAGATGCACAAGACATTCTCATCACCAATTTGTGACAGATATCCCTCTCCAAAAACAGGAAATGAGAGCACCCTTCTTTCCCACCTCCGATAACCCCGTGAAATCCTTGCCACCATGGCTTACCCCAGAGCCACAGAAGCGTCCAAGGCGGGGTGCGGTGCTGTCATAACCGTCGTAGATCTCCATGTAGTCATATCCACAGTCAGCCTCCTCCTCGATCTCAAATGTCTGGAATATCAGCTCCACCCCATAACCATCTTCTGCTACAATCACCCAGTCACAGTTGGCTTGCCCTGGGTAGTTGTTGTCCCCAAACTGAGCATGGGAATACAGCTCCTTAGTTTGTACTTCAGCCTTTAAGAGCCCACCACACACTGAAGGAAGAAAAGGGCACAAAACACAGTCTCCTCAAAGGCCCTACCTCACAAAAGATTTGCCATCCCACTTTTGGGCTGTCTGTGGGAAAAGACGACCTTCAGTTTGAAGTACATATAACAGCAGGGAAGGTTACTAACCACTGCATCTAACTAGCATAAGAGTGAATTCTTCAGTCATCCATGAATCCAGTGACCCACATAGTGTAGAAAAGCCTGGTTCTTTTGGTGCAAAACATGGAGAGAAAGAAGTGACCAGTTAATGTTGGCCAGAAGAAAAGATATTTTATAGAACAGCAACGTAATGTCTTTTGTTAACGTGTTCTTTGAACTTGTCCTGTAGCTGAAATTGTGACCCCAAATATCTTGCCAACAGTAAGCTGAAGCTTATTAAAAACCTGGACTCCAAAATAATCTGCCCACGTTGCACCTAAGATAGTTCAATGCAAGTACTTTGGTGGTTTTTCTGCAGCTAACGAGGAATAAGTAGTGCTGCTCAAGGTCTGCTTCATCTACAGTGACAAAGATTTCAGAAAAGAATGTTGGTACAATACATCCACCGCTGGGTTGCTACAAATATAATCCTGCTGTGTATGCTCACAGCACATCTTTGCTTCCACCATAACCAATCTAGTATGAGCTCATTGTGGTGGGCCATTATATCTGAAAGGCATCCCTTGCTAGACTAAGTTGTATCCACTCTTTTTCTGAGAACTGATGGGGAACAGAAGAGGTTGTCACTTGACCAAGCATCTCCTATTTAAACAGCAGAAGGTGAGTAGGAACATCTGACATCAGTAAGCTTCTCAGCTA